CCTATCGAAGAGACATTTAATTAGGTAGTGAAGTACAGTGAATAATAACAGACAGAGAAAAACATAGGATGAATTCAATAGTCATCCTTGTGGGCCAGTAGAACAGTAGGCAGCTAAGAAAGATATCAACACTTGAAAGGAGATGTCACAGGAGGCCTCCTGTGCTAGCAACCACAACAAAAGGAATTGGTGAGGAGAGATTTAGGAATGAAAAATAAGTTTCTTTCACATTTTTTATTGTCCCTGACATGTTCTTTTGAAGTAAGTTTCCAAGTTTAGATAGGTATATGATCAATTGATGCAGTCTGATGTTAAGCTTCCTTGAATTAATAGATAGCCAATGCATTTAGATTGCTACCAGTTTAATAATCTGGCATAGAGTGAATTGAGAAATGTAAATCTATAGATTATGAGATCCTATATATTGTACAGATAGTGTAATTTCATAGATAGTTAAAGCCAAAATCCTATATATCATACAGATAGTGTAATTTCAGAGATAGAAAGTTAAAGCCAGTATTGTTCTTGGTCAATACTCAAAGCATTAACTGTGAGCATTGTTTATTATTTGGAAGCTTCAAATTGGCCATGGTGGGAAATATTTGTAGCAAAGAAATTGGCAAGCACTATAAACTTGAGTGCAACCTCACACAATGGCTGTAAACATTATAGACACCCAACATCTAGGTAGCTACCTATTTTTTATACACATCGGAAAGTACATACAGTTTACATGTATAAATGCATATTATATTCAGACTAGAAGGCTTATGGTCTACAACTGCATTTTCATTTCTGTGTTTTACTCAATATATCATAGCTATCTTTCCTCACAAGAAATAGTGTTTAGCATCCTAGCAAATAATAAAAAGGAGGTAAATAAGAAATTCTTTGCATTGTTGTGTTTATGGATATAATCAGCTGTTGCTGAATGTAGGAAGTCTTTTATGTGTTTGTTTCTAGGTTGCCAAGAGTACAATAAAAGAGGCTGTTCAGAGAGCAATTGATGTAGGCTACCGCCATATTGACTCTGCATTTCTTTACCAAAATGAAGAAGAGATTGGATCTGCCATCCGGAAGAAGATTGCTGACGGCACTGTGAAAAGGGATGACATATTTTACACTTCCAAGGTGCCGTGTACAATTGCACATACTGTATTTGCTGCTTCAGGGTGAAGCTTTCTGTCAGTAGAATAGATGGCTTTGTTTCTGATTATCTCTCTTCTCATTAGTTTGATTTTATTAAAAAAATTTTCTCTGGCAAAACACCAAGGGACCTGGTTAAGTGTGTGGATTTGGTGATCTGATTTCTATTTGTGAATCTAGTTCTCTGGCACTTATTACACATGAGGCCTTAGACTTAAACCCTATGCTGCAGATTTTCAAGCTGTAAAATGAAGAATATTATTTACCTCATAGGATTTTTCTGAATGGCTTGTCAAAAAGTTTGTTTAAAATTCTTGGAAAGAAAATACATTTTGGATACTCAAGTGCTAAAATATTATTGCTAGATAATCTTTTAAACACAAGAATTGGGGCAAGTATACCTGTATTAAAAATTTGAAAGTTAGCTGTGTTTCATGTTCTTAACATATCTTAACCTAGCTTGAGGTAATGTAAATTCATCAGATAGACTTTGGAACCAAACAAAACAAGAATCAATTTTTAACTATCATTTCCGCTGCCAATTTGACTTAGTACAAAGTTTCCAAATGAAAAAAAAAGGTTTTGAGACCTTTGCACTTTGGTCTTCATATTTCAATCTGTTTTATGGTCAATAAATATTTCTCTCCCCCATGAAATGGGAATAAATAGCTTGGAGTTTATATGACAATGGAGTTTGTGCTTGTAAAAATGTTTATGTGGTCTTTTAAAAAAATTCACAGGTGTGGACTGGGAAGGTGGCTCAGTGGTAGAGCGCTTGCCTTGCATGCCTGAGGCCCTGGGTTCGATTCCCCAGCACCACATAAGCAAAAAGAAAAAGAAAAAAGCCGGAAGTGGTGCTGTGGCTCAAGTGGTAGAGTGCTAGCCTTCAGCTGAAGAGCTGAGGGACAGCACCCAAGCCCAGAGTTCAGGCCCCATGACCGGACTCAAAAAAAAATTTAAAAATAAAAAAAATAAAAAATAAATAAAAAAAATTCACAGGTGATTTTCCCCCTTACGATTCTCTGCGTCCACCATTGCTAAAAAGTAACAAAAGCAAACAAAACTGAAATGAAACAACACATAACATAAAAAAATTAAAGCAATCTAAATTTGAGGTCAGGAACCCAGAAAGCAAGGTCAGGTCTATGGAATATGCAGAGATTTTTCTTCCTTCTAGGCCACATGAGTTTTTACATGCTGTGTAGCTACCCAACCTACACTCTTGTATTTTGAATCTCTTTTCCTATGCAATGATTTTTTTAAAAACCATTTTGTCTTTTAACTGATGGCTTCTTAACATGAAGAGACTAATGTTCCCACAAACAAGTTCTTACTATATGAAAAAAAAACCCTTCCTGAATGATAACTACATGAGGTTCTTGTTTCACAGGTAATTTCTCAATCTATTCTCCAGGTATTTTGATGGATAGAACCCAGGAAAGTATTGTATAAGCAAAGCAGATCATTCTTTTACATTCTAGCATTTTAGGATCATAGTACTAGGGCCAGACATTCATTTTCTGTATGTGTTCTCTCAATTCAGTCTGAACATCCTAAACACTGATAATCTCTGGGCTTCAGTGGGTATAACTATTAAAAGAGAGTTTTCCTTGTGGATACTGTTTGCTTGCTACATTAGTAATTGGTCCTAAACTAGACTCTTCTTCTTGAATTTTATTTTTACCTTGAAGTAGTTGTACAAAGGAGTTGCCACTCATCAAAGTAATATATGAGTACAATGCACCTTCATCCCTAAATGTCATACCATTTCTCTCTCTACTACCGCAGCTGTGGAGCACCTTTTGCCGTCCAGAATTGGTTCAAGTAGGCCTGGAAAGATCACTGAAGAGGCTTCAGTTGAGCTATGTAGACCTTTACCTTATTCACTTCCCAGTACCTCTGAAGGTGAGCAAGAAATTCCTTTTCATTTATTTGGTTAATATCTTAGGGGGAGGTCTTTTGTTTTGACTTGGATAATTAGCATAAAAATTAGCAACTGCATAAATGTGAGCACACAGTGTGGATAACAAACATTACAGGAAGTGGTGCTGTGGCTCAAGTGGTAGAGCACTAGCCTTGAGCTGAAGAGCTCAGGGACAGTGCCCAGGCCCAGAGTTCAAGCCCCACGACCAACCCCTGCCCCCCTCCAAAGAAACATAATAATACATAATAATTATTATATTAATTATAATATATAAATTATATAGTAATTATAACATATTATTATATTAATTATAATAATGATAACATTACATAATAATCTCTCTCTTCTGAAACTGTGACCCCTTTATTCACTATACCAGTCCCAGGGAGCTACGAATTCCTTCCTCACCTTGTCTTTGCCTTGATAGTGTGGATGTACTGCCTGTATTTCCATGCTTCCATGCTTCTGCATCTCTTCTCCCATGTTCACTGACATTTGGGGAATGCCCTTGTACCGTTCAGTTACAGGACAGAAATTGTAGTGAGCTCAGCATTTGGCGTGGTTACAATTCACTGACAAAGGAGGGAAAGGATTTTTCCTCAGAGGTCCATGACCAAAGAACTCTCTGTGCAGGATGCTGCCTTAGGTCTTATCTAGGACACGTTTGTGGGTATTATGAGCTGGACTTGACACAAAAGTATACTTTTTTTCACATGCAGGAAAGAAAATTGTAGAACTACTTGAGAAGAGTTCTTGATTCTCTACCCCTCCCAAAATGTTCTTTCTATTCATTTGGTTTTCATTCATCAAAACATCTCCAGAAGTCTGCTTCTTTGCCTCTAGATTAACTTGATAAATCCTTTAAAAACAAATTATTCCCTAGTTTCAGTGTATATGTGTCTGGAAGAGCTTGGGTGAGACAGATAGACCCCTGCACAACGTTTCCTTTCCTTTATTCCAGCCTGGAGAGGAGATTTTCCCAAAGGATTCGCAGGGGAAACTCATTTTTGATGCCGTGAATCTCTGCAGCACGTGGGAGGTGAGTGCACTGCAGAGAAACCACATCTCTGATTTGAGCAGAGAAAGGCTGGACAAGGGATTCAGGAAATGGCGGGGGGGGGGGGGCGGGGAACCCAGCCCAATGCTTCCTTTTCTACTAGGGCAAGTTTCTGAATGTCCTTCTGTTTTCACACGTCATTGATTTAATAATTCAGCACATCCATCAAGCAGTATCCTTTGCACTCAGGAAATGTCAGTGAGCAGAACAAAGGCTTCTGACTCTTTGGGAGTCTTAAGTGGTGTGTGGGGCAGAGGTTTGTAAGGGACTGAGAATAATAGGGAGGATTCGAGACACAGGTAAGCCAATATAAAAAGAAAACTGGAATGAAAGGGTAGAAGCCTTTAAAAACATGACATTTGGACAAAGAATTTCCATAGATGAGGGAATTGACTATGTGAGTACTTAGAAAGGGAAGAGATGATGAGCAGAAAGGTAGCCAAGATGGAGATTTTTAAGGGGCAGAGACATGACTATGTTCAAAGAACCTCAAGGAGCATGGGTGCCAGGGCACGCATTTCCTACTAGCAGGAAGTGAAGCTGTTAGTCTATTCCATGGTATGGTCACTTTCTGTGCCACACTCAGTTTCACTTCCTTTTTGTCTGGGCACACATTTTGCCGTGGCTCAAAATTTCCTAGGCAGTCACTAAAGATGGTTCTGGCTTTTTATCTTTGTCCTGTGTTCTTTAGTATCTTATTGATCTTATATTCTTCCTTATTTTTTCTATGCTTTTTTTCTCTGACATGGTGAGTTCCTGTTGATCGATAGATGTCTGCATATTTCTCCCCCACTTCTCCCCTAGCACATTCACATCGATTACTTTTCTTTCACCTATCACACAGATTACTTCTCACAGTGCTCTTCTTTGCAGGCCATGGAGAAGTGTAAGGATGCGGGGTTGGCCAAGTCCATTGGAGTGTCCAACTTTAACCGCAGGCAGCTGGAGATGATCCTGAACATGCCAGGACTCAAGCATAGGCCAGTCTGTAACCAGGTGAACCCCATCATTCTGTCCCACTGGTCTCTTCATCCCCTGTTCCTCAGCTTCCTCTTTCATTAGACACTAATGACACTCAACATTCATGCAACTTTGAACGAGACCTAGATGTATTTTAAATACAGAGACTTAAGTGCCTAGAACCATGTAGGTAAAACATCTGAGCCTCGGTTGAAGCTAGCATTTGGTTATACCCCAAAGTTTGAGCTGGCAGATGACTGATAGCCACTTCACATCCTGTCAATTTCCCCCTGGTGGTTCTGTGAGCTGGCTTACTGATGGACACTTGTTTTGGCACTCTTCAGGTGGAATGTCATCCTTACCTCAACCAAAGTAAGCTGTTGGAGTTCTGCAAGGCCAGAGACATTGTCATGGTTGCATATGCTGCCTTGGGTTCCAACACAGACAAGGAATGGTAAAGATTTCTATGGAAATGTTTTAACCTTAGATACTGTACCTTCTCTAGTCACCACTCAGCAGGGTAGAGGAAATGAAGGGTGAAGGAATATTTCATCTTTGTAAATCTTTACTAGCTCTCACTTACACTGAAAAGACTCATTAAAACCATCATTGAATAACAAAATCACAGTAAGCCATTTTAAAAATTGCAAATTCAGCCACCACAGCTCACTCCAGAAGAGTGACTTCTGGCAGTCACTCTTGAGTCGAACTGGGCAGACTATTGTCTTTCTGATAAATTCCCTTATGACATTTCTCTGAAAGGCTTTAAAACTTAAAAAGAACCCACTTTTCCCCTTTCTTTCCTTCATTTTTGTAGGTGTCAAGAGAAGCAAAATAGATATTGAAACACACATAGGGTATTTAAAAAAAAGAATAGTCTAGATGATTCATCATCACCAGCCTGAATGTGTAGCCCCGAGAAAAATAAAATATTCATTCTTAGACATCTCTGCCTTTCTTCTCAGGGTAAACAAGAACAACCCAGTTCTCTTAGAAGACCCAGTACTCAATAGCATTGCTCAAAAGCACAGGCGAACCCCAGCCCAGGTGGCCTTGCGCTACCAATTGCAGCGAGGGTTATTGGTTCTTGCTAAGAGCTTCAATGAGAAGAGAATGCAAGAGAACTTCCAGGTACTGTACCTCACAAGATCATGGGCTACAGGAACTCCATGAGCCACTTCATTTCTCCCTGGCAGGCTGTAATTTGTGAGGCTCTCAAGTCATGTTTGTGCACAGCTTATTGCCTTAGACATTCCAGGCATATAAACACTGTAATTTAATGGTCTTCCAGCTACTACAAAGAAGGGATTGTAGTGATTGGAAGGAATACTAAATAGAAGAGCAGGGTTAACCCTGAATTCTAATCAGATCACCCTTTGATTCACTGTATTTTCATGCTTTCACAGCATACTAGAGTCTGGGTAATTTTTTTTTTTTTGGTTGTTTGTGGGGCTTGATCTCTGGGCTTAGGTGCTGTCCCTGTGCTCTTCAGCTCAAGGTGAACACTCTACCACTTGAGCCACAGCACCACTTCCAGTTTTCTAGTGATTTATTGGAGATAAAAGTCTCACAGACTTTCCTGCCCAGGCTTGCTTTGAACCGAGATCCTCAGATCTCAGCCTGAGTAGCTAGGTTTACAGGCCACTGGTGCCTTGCTGAGTCTGGGTAATCTCTAAAGAAGTTTTTTTAGCTCACAGTTATGGTGGCTGGGCAGTCCAAGAGTGGGTGAGTGTATCTGGTCAGAGCCTTTAGCATGGTGGAAGGTGGTAAGAGCTGGTGTATACAAGGACTAAACTCTCAGAGCAGGTTCTCTTTTTAAATGCACATTACTTCATCAAGTAATCTAGTCACAAAGAGATCGAGAAACCCGTCTATGCCTCCAGAATTAACCCTATTGCATACAATTAGCATGTATCACTTCACAAGGGCAGAGAGTCAAGGATCTCCTAAAGATCTTGCCACTTCCTTAACATCACTAAAAATCGGGACTACATTTCAGCATGAGATTTGGAGAAGACAAAGTGGATTCAAAGAAGACAAAGTGCATGTTGTAAGATGGAAGAATCTGATTTGGATTTTAAAAAAAATCTGAGGGATTTCTGTTCTAGTCACAGACACCCACTAAATGTCCCTGAAGGGAAATGAGACAGCCTGTTTCTTGGCAAATTCCCAGGATTTTCACCACTAAAAGAATCTCACATCCATGAAAATTGTCTCACAAAACCTGAAGAAATTTCCACATGTATTTGAGTTTGTGGAGAGGGAAGGAAAGCAATAGTAATTGCCTCCAGAATTCAGGACTGACATTTTGTGTCTCTGATAGGTTTTTGACTTCCAGCTGACGCCAGAGGATATGCAAACTCTTGATGGTCTAAACAGAAATATCCGCTATTTTGAAGATTCTGAGTAAGTAGTTCTATTGTAGAGAAGGGGGAGGAGTAGGATAGTGGGGAAATTCAGTTTATTACAATCTACAGAAGGAAGAATTTCTTGCTTTGGAAAGTTTTTGCACATTTCTTTTTCCCTCAATCCTGAGACTAGATTTACTCCAAGGCTCATGGCCCTGTCTAACCAAGACAAGTAGCTTGCGCTGGACTGAGTACAAGTACTCTTCACACTTCCATTGTCTGCATTGGATGTCACTTTGTATTAAAGCGGCTTACTTTTCAGCTCAAAAACTAGTTTGAAACCTCTGTACTAAAAACTATAGAAGCTGGGCACTGGTGGCGAATGCCTGAATTCCTAACTACCCATGAGGCTGAGATTGCTAGATCACAGTTCAAAACCAGCATGGATAGGAAAGACTTTGTGACTGGGCAGAAAGACTCTTATCTTTAATTAACCACCAAGCAGCCAAAAGTGGAGCTGTGGCTCAAGTAGTAGAACACTAGCCTTGAGCAAAAAAGCGAAAAAAGAAAGAAATCTATATTAATTTTCAAGGTCATACCAGGTTAATAGTTCAATTTCTCTAGGCCCAATCTATATTTAATTAATTAGCCAAGACTCTCCAATTACCTTTCAGGTTTTCTCCTCACCCCAATTATCCATTTTCTGATGAGGAATGAACAAAACATTCTATGGGTGCTTCAAAGTTCTTTGACTTTAGTTGGTGAGCAGAGAACAACTCAAGAATATGAAGCAAGCTGTTTTACTCCATGCTGCTAAGTCAGCTGAGTTCCTGTATGAGGAAATAGAAGTTTCGGAATCTTGTATTTTTCTCCAAATAAAGATGTATTCTAAACAATTCTAGCCCCTTGCAGCTCTGTCATTTGTTCTTGGATTTTGGTGTTGTTTTCCTGTTGAATGAATCTGAAATGCCAACATACCTGGAAGTGATCACAGGTAAGATGAATGTAGAAAATGCGGCCTTGGCGTACTTTCAAGCTTTCAGTCTAGCTTTTCACTTGTCTGTAGTTCTTAGTTTTCCTGTAACTATTGTGCAATATACATTTTGTTACATTTTAAAATAGAGTCAAAGTTTAATTAACATATAACAATGTGTGAATACATAATACTAAAAGTATCCAGATGTCAATGAAATTTATTACATCAAAAACATGGGAAAAAAGTCTCAAAATGAATTAAAAAAAAGGGGTGGTCACATATGGCTATATGAATCATTATTTGCACATGATTTTATAGCAATCATCATAAAATATTATATCAAGCAATTACAACAAATGAAACTTACAACAAATGAAACACAACAAATGAAAAACTAAGCAATTGACAATTGCTAGAATTATACATATCACTTCATTAAGTTTGAAGGATATGATTAGCATACAGAAACCAAGGAGAGGTGCGCACACACACACAGAGAAAGAGACAGGGACAGAAAGAGTTGGTATCAACTTCCTTGTATTAAATAGATAATTTGACATATCCTACCTACAGTTGTTGTAAGGAAGAGGTCAGGGTGCTCAGTTCCCAGGATACTTTAAGGAATTTGCCTCTGTTCAAGGAAATTGAGGGCTAGTGTCTATTTGTATAACAACACATTGGTCTTTTGCTGTTTGGGGAAATAGACTTACAGGTTTATTAATGTTTGGTAATGTTCAAGACAGGGAAAACTTGCAACTATCCAGTTTTCAGAGTTAATAAAGTTACCCTAAATTGCTTAGTTGTAACAAAGGAAAAATCTAAGTGACCTTACATACCAGACATTGTATTAAGGAGTTTGTTTCATAGTTTTACAGATTTGACCCTACACTTTTATCTTAGTACCAAGCTAAGAACTGGCAAGGTTTAGGCTTTGACTGAGCAAGAAGTCAATACTGTCTTCCTCAGTCAAAAGAATGCTGGTCACACCCACAAACAAGAAAAAATAAGACAATAAAATCACTCTAAGTCCTCCAGAAGGACACAACCCTATAAACAAGAGTTCAGACTTTGAGCCCTGCAACTTGAAAAGAAAACAAGCGAAGGATTTATTTAGCAACTAAACTGGTGGTAATGTTGCAACAGCCACAGGAAACTGATATGGGATCCTCCTTAATGGTTTGGAGAGTTCTAAGTACACAGTTTATCATGAGCAAGTCCCTGTGCCAGGTCTTATAAGAGATACATTCTCTATAAGAGAGATAAATTCATGCCTTTAGTTTTGTTAATGGTATCGGGAGAAATACAGTTTAACTTCACAAAGGAGTCCATGCCTACATGACCTTGCTCTCCTCAGATAACATTTTCCAGAGCAGGCATCACGCAAGCAACAGACTGAATTACAAAGTGGGGGCACTTGAAATGTCCAGGTTTTTTATCACAAGTAAGGCAGGCAGATCCTGATGATGGCTGTATCTTGTATCAATATGTCCCACACAGGGAAAATACGTTACAGTGTGTCCACATACAACTACATGCATTGAATATCATCAACTCATACCTTCTTAAGTTGTCCTCTTCCATGGTTTTATGCCTTTAATTGCTATTTAATCTTGGTACTTTTATACTTTTAAAGTAATAAAGTGCCCAGTAGGGGACAAGTATGTATTAAGATGAGTAACTGCCAGTCTTAAAAGCCATCAGAAAAACAAGCCAATTGACATAGGAAGATGCTTAAAAGGGTTCTAGTTGTCTGTATTTCCTTTGTGGAATGTGCTTCAGCAGACCCCAGAGCAGGGAAGAAGAACATACATAGAAATCACATTACCTGAAGAGACCAAGGGAGAGAAGAGCTTTGTGAACTCCAATTTCAGAATTCAACGAAAATAAACAGAGTACTTAATTACCATTTGCAAAGGAAATTAGCAACTACTGATTAGAAGTGTGACTGTATAAGCTCTAGGAAACTCTTTAAGTTTTCCTAATTTTGTTACCTGTTGGCTTTTTACAATGATTTCACAGGTGCAGTGATTGTGCCTTTTGCAATAGGTGGTCCCATGCGCCACCTAGTGGCTGAGTTAACGGACAGTTTTTGTGTAGGTTGAGGAAATCCATGAAATGCAAATGATTGATTCTCATTATGCAGGAATGCCATGCTTTCAAATTTGCCTACTCGTTCCAATTCACTTTTGACCTTGAAATGCTATTCAAGTGCTCCCCTGATCATTTGAGGGCCTGGCTGGAACAGTCGAAACCTGAATTCTAGACCACTTCTTGTTTTAGTTCCTATGCCATAAACAGCGTCCTTGACGTGAACAATCACAGCTTTCCTTTTGAGGTGTGCAGGCAGATTTTGCTTTAAGATCATCTATGAGTCACTGGCAGTGTGTGTGGGGGATGGGGTGGGGGAGGGGGCAGGAAGGTAAAACATAATGGTTCTAGATGGATAGCCTATTGAAGGGAGGGATCATGATTATTCTTTTCAACTCTTGTATAATTCCATAACTCAGTTATTTCCTTAAATACAAAGGCAAATTTAATTTGTCAATCACTGATATTTTTCTTCAATGTAGTGGCCACATAGATGGACTCATAGAAATCCCGGTACCCTGTTGGGTTTTACAGACTTTACTCCTTCGTGGATCCCTGGAGTTCGTGGCTACGTTTCCTCATGACCACTTATGTCTTTCTAACACTTAGAACACAGTCAGTCCCTCTGGTTTGTCAGGGAACTAGGCTCTACCTGTTACCTCCATCCCGGACACCGCTGCCCTGGATGCTGCCCTGACAGACCTTTGCAGAGATGGCCAATGACTCAAGCTTTGCAGTTTGTCTGGGCTGAGCAGAAATGAGGAGGGCTGAAGCCATCTTCAGTACTCAATGTGGAAGGGATAATCTTTGTGATTTTTACTTCTGAAAAACAGAACACCAACTTTAAAACAAAGACCAAACAACAACAACAAAAACCAACCCCTCAGGAACAAAGTGATTATTTTAAAGAGAAACATTTTAACTCTCTAGCAGATGAATTAATTTGGGGCTGGGCTCCAGTGGCTCACAACTATAATCCTACAGTGGCTCATGACTATAATCCTAGCTACTCAAGAGGGTAGGATCTGAGAACTGAGGTTTGAAGTCAGCCTTGGCAGAAAAACCTGTGACTCTTATACCAATTAACCACTAAAGAAACACAAATAATAAATTAAAAAATAGAAGTGGAACTGTGGCTCAAGTGGTACAGTGCCAGCCTTGAGCAAAAATGCTAAGTGACAATGCCCAGGTCCTGGTGTCAAGCCCCAGTACCAACACACACACACACACGTAGTTTTGGCCTTTTTCCAATATGACAAGCAGGTTGAGTTAACCTGGAATGTGTATAGTAAAAGCCTACTAAGGTACCTAGTCATCCCATCTTACATTGCTCCTTGTATTTTAAAAAGAAAGTGTATGTGGGAGGGTGTATATATTTACATAGGCAAGGTGGCCAGGCGGAGATTCTTGTTTAGAGCCAAGAGGTCATTCATATCTTGCTCTGTTAATTCAAAATCAAAGACCTGGAACCAAAATAAATGTTCTTAAGAAACTCGGCTCCATTCCCAATGGCACATGTCACCTACACAGCATTGTGCTAGACCTGCGAAGGACACAGAAATACAAAAGGAACTTGGAATTGACCCCCACCACTCATTTCAGCTTTCACCACCTTGGTTTCTGATCTTGGCTTAGCCCCAGCTATATTAAAGAAAACTCAGGAATGATAAGGGGTGCACTGCCATCAACTCCTGGGAGTAAAGACCAAATGGGGCTGCGAACGAGGTGTGGGAAAGAGAGTTTGTCCGCTGACTCTATCTTTTCCCCTCAAAAGATGAGGCCATTTATTCCATGCTGTCCCAACTAAGAGGCCTCACAGTTCCCAAGACTATGAGCTCTAGCATTTTCCACGTGACAGAACATGTTTTCTTAGCAGTCATCTTTTCTTCCTTTGATGATAGTATTCTTACCCCCTCCCAGCCTGAATCCTTGCACATCCTGAAGGGCTATCCCCCCACAAAAGCAGCATTTCACAATGAATACCATCCATGGCTGCCCAGGAGGTAGGAAGGGGCACATGCCCCCACCAGGGGAGAGGCCCTGTGGGGCCCTAGCATTCACCCCTAGAAACCAACTGGCCCCGAGCCTAGAGAAATGGGCTGTGGAGTGTAAATGGGAATTCTGAACACAAAGAGTTCAGGTGGTAGCGTAGTTTGGAGCAAGTTCCAGCAGAACTTCAGCTCTCAAACATCTCTGAATGGGAGTCATGACTGGAATCCTTCAACACACACACAAGGACACTACCCTAGAGCGACCCATGAGCCAGCTCCTCCCCAAGATCCACTGGGCCACAGCCAGCTTGCTCCCAGGGTAAGCATGGCCATGTGATGTGGCAGTGGGTCCACGCTCCCACGTGGAGTCCATCACCATCTACCCCATGGGAGACCCTCTTCCCTCTTTCCTCCTCCTGTTGGAGTGAATGGAGCCCACACCAGGCCCTAGGGGACCCCTGATAGATGGGAGTCAGGGTGCTTGGACGCAGGGGAAGGCTGACTCTGCATGGACAGGGAGGGTTCTGTGCTGTCTGCACTGCTAGCGATGGTGAGCGGGCCCGCATGAATACATGGACAGAAGAATGCACCTACCTTTATATTCTCTTGAATATGACGTGGGGTGACGGACTTAGGAATCGTGATCACTTTCCGCTGTATCTGAAATCGGATCAAAATCTGCAGGGAGGCAGGGAAGAAAAAGCCTGTCATTCAGAGGGAGCCGACATGATCTCCAGTGTACATGTGAGTTCTGACATTCGGGTCCGAGTCCAGCGTGTCCTTCACACCCAAGTCCTCTGGAACTGGGACTTTCTGAGAGGTTTTATCAATACATCTGTAACGACTAACACCTTAATGAGAATCCCCTAATGTGTCCCAGCCTCTCTTCCCCCTCTTGCCACCCCCACCCCCTGCCAAATAACCTGGAAATAAGAACAAGGAACAAGAGTGTCACCAAGGCCTTTGGGGGCTGCCTCTCACACTGTCCCCGCAGCTGGGGCAGAGGGGAGTGCCCAGGGACTTGTCCTGAGCACTGACAGGTGAGGAACCCATGGTGTGTGACATGAGTGAATGGGAATATGGAAGCTCTGATGAGCCATCAACTCATCCTAGGAACTGACACGGTGGGAAGACCTCGAGAGGTAAGCTCTCAGCCCAAGCTTGCATACCCCCCCACCCCCCGCCTCCCCCGCTTCCCCCGCCCTGCACCGTACCTGTGAAGGAGACTTCTTATGCTCCTTGGCGATCCTCTGGATCACAGGGTCCTCCATCAACTCCACCCCCTTACTAGGGAGACATAGCACAGAGTGGTGAGCCAGAAAATCCAACCAAGGTGCTAATCAACCACCAAACTTTTCTTCACAATGGAAGGTTTGGTATTTTCCCCTTGTGATCCATCACCCCACAATCACACATCACACATCACCCCAAATCCACTCTCTGAAGATGGTCATGGATGACACTGTGGGGAACACACATGCGCACGTGCATGCACGCACGCGCGCGCACACACACACACACACATGCATATCATCACTTTCCACACATCCTCTCAACATGTTCCAGACCACACCATGATTTGAAGGACTATAACAAATAAAATCTATGTTTACTATATGATCTATCTATATACAACATATACACAATTGCATATATATAGTCTATATAAGAGATTTAGAGATCTATGACATTTGTCCTGGAAAAAGGACAAGCTCTAGTAATTAAGAGGCAACTTCTTAATTTTAAATAAATAAATAAATAAATAAATAAACAAACCAGCATCTATGAAGCAGTACGTAGGTTCCAAGCACTGGGCTCAGTATGCTCCTTAAAGTGTCTGGCATGAACTAAACAGAACACTCACTTTCTTTCATAGGCCAGCAGTCCAGATGGATTCCCTACCGCAAGCTATCAGAGGCACTTCTACCCCAAAGCTCAGCCACAGAATGTGACCCGGCTTTTGAGGAACAACCTAGCTTTTGCCAAAGTTCAAATCTGCACACCTCCCTTCACAGGGAAAACACAGATGATAAGGTAGAAGTCATTTCAGCATCTTTAGGCACTGTGCTGAGCAAGAGGCTGGGACGAGGCCCTGCATTCAAGAAGCTTTATCGAGCGGACAGGCGAAGGGAGCAACAACAAGGGAATCTACAAGGGCTAGGCACAAAATACAAAGACGGGGCTACAGAAGGGCTTCTTGGGAGGATCTGCTGAGTTCAATCTTCAATCAGAAATGGGCGTTAAACTAGGTTTGAAAAAGATTATCAAGAGTGGTGTATGCAAAGCCAAAGACTAGAAAGAACAGAGACTAGAAAGAACATTCTGTCCAAGCGACCACAAGTCGTTTCACTGGGTGAACGCACTGGGGGTTTGTGGGAATGGGGAGACGTGAAGCCAGAGGACAGGCCAGCGGAGACTTGCCTGAAGTAGAAGAAAGGTGGGTCTGGGAGGGACTTACAGGGTTCCTCTAGGACCTTAGGGAATTCCTGCTTCATTAATAGAAATGGTGACAGGAGAGATCAGAGGGCAGATTTGAGCTTCTGGCACAATGACTGGTGGATGTTGGGGTTGGGTTGGCTTGAGGGGCGGGGCGGGGGGGGGAGAGGCAGGGGAAGAGTGACACAATTCATTTCTGGCTTAGGTGGGGGATCCCCAGTTGATTAGCAAGAGTGAAGTGCAAATTCCACGTCCTTGGACTCACCCTGAGACTCACCCTGAGACTCACCCTGTAAGAGTGATCAACAGCTGACGGATGAACTAGATGGAGTTCCACAAAGCCATCCCTTTAGGCTGTGGTCCCTTAAAAGGCACAGCGTGGTTCGGAGCAGCCCAAAGTAACGGTCCAGCTTCCATCAGAGCTCCTTGCCTTCAGTTCAGGAGTGGACACCCTTTGAGTCCTCCACACCTTCGTAATGAAGATCTCCCAAATGTGGGGAGACATCTCTGCCCTGCTAGGACCCAGCCATTGAAGCATCCTTACCTTGAGCCACCCAGAGGGCGGTATGCAGTGACACATACATCTCTGTCTTGGCAGAAATGAATCAGTTTCTCCTGAGTAAGATATGGGTGGCATTCAATCTACAAACAGAATCACAGGATACCATGAAAATTCAGACCCACCGCTCTACGAGAGAGGATTTACAGCAAGGTCTCGGCTGTTGTCATTGATTAGACTCAGAGTTCTTCTAGAAGCCTGGGTGTTTTCATCCCCATGGGATAAGTTGGGTTTGATCATTTGTAAGATGCTGCTTGCCAAAGAGGTATGCGGTTTAGACACTGACGTCATCTGAATGCTCAGCATCACCCATATGGTGAGGCCTTCATCACCAGAGGGCATCTGCCATATCCAGAGCCCCCATCTCTCCCTTGCCCTTCATCATCCTCTATGACACATTCTGGCAGTTGACACCTCATATATTTTATTTGTTGATTGTCTGTTTCCGCTAGATCTGGCAAGAATCATTCCTAATCATTTAAGGAGCTCCTCAACATAAAGATACCGACACAAAATAAGAGCTCTATTGTCTAGAAACACATCCTGGGCATGACGGTTTCAAAATAGGCTACACCAAACTGCAAGTCAGGTGGTGGCTGCACTGTGTGCTGGTGACAAGGACAGGACGCAGAAGCTTCTGGAAGGCTGAGAATGTGGTCTCTTGCTTGGGAGCCTGAGTTTTCTGAGTATGACCACTTGTGTTCTTTATGATTCATGGTGGATCTATGTTGTGCCATATTTTATTTTAAAGCTTATTATCTTATTCATTGGGGGAAAATATGATGCTTGCTTTTTTGTGTGTGGTAGTAGGGTTTGAACTCAAGGATTGCACTTGAGCCATGCCTGTGATTCTTTTACAATTATATATATATATATATATGTATATATATATTTTTTCTTTTCAGATAGTGTCTTCTGACTTTTGATTAGGGTTGGCCTTGTACCACAACTCCTGAGTGGCTGGATTACAGGTATGAGCTACCACAACTAGTCCTGCTTCATTCTTAACAGTCCCAAATGTCCAAATGCATTCTGATTTATTCACACAAGAGCAAGCGCATAGAAACAAGAAGGAATAACCTCTCACATGCATATATATGGATGACATTAACAAACACAACACTGGGTAAAGGCACCCAGGCAAAGGGGTCAACAATGAATCACTACATGAATGTCAATAGCAACAGCAGCTATCCCTCGAAAGGCCAGGCATGCATGCCGACTGGAAAGGAGAAGTGTTGGTAAGGTGTGGCTGGGGCATTCCTTGTGCTGTTTCATGTCGTTAATGCTGGCCATAGTGTGAGGCTTGGTTTATAAGAATTCATTGGCTGGGAAGGTGGCTTAGTGGTAGAGTGCTTCCCTAGCATGCATGAAGCCCTGGGTTCGATTCCTCAGTACCACATCAACAGAAATAGTCAGAAGTGGTGCTGTGGCTCAAGTGGTAGAGTGCTAGCCTTGAGCAAAGGAAGTTCAGGGACAGTGTTCAGGCCCTGAGTTCAAGCCTCAGGACTGGCAAAAAAAAAAAAAGAATTCATTAAGTTCTGTTCTCATGTGAATTATATATATATATATATGTAAATAATAAATATATATTAAAATACATGCATACAATTCATATTATAGTATATATACATAATATACAATTCATATATAACATACATGATATATAGTTAGATACAAATTGCATATGTATATCTATATTATACTAAAGGATATTATATATAGTATATATATACTTTTTATCAAAATGTTTTGTATATATATTTTTTTTCCTGCTTAGAAAATTTATTGAACATTATTCTTGCAACACACTTAAGAAAAACTTAAATGTTCCCTGAAGGCACCCTTCATTTCATATGATTGGTATTTTTTGTAGTAAAAATACAATTAAATATGAAATTAGTAAAAGGCAGAATATAAAACTTCATGCTGAGCAAAAACAAGTCCAAAAAAAGTCACCATATATCCACAGAATATTTCCTATGGTACATGTTTTCTATGTAAATCATATCTTAATGCAATTTTTAGAACCATATTTAAATAGCTTTGCAATTTGTTAATTGTAGGTATCCTATTTTTTTCTTCCACCACATAATATACTGCTTATATTAACATTGGCTATACCTGCTATGATCCACACAATGTAACCAAAAGCTTTTCTTTTCTAAAGAACTGAAGTTATTTCTCAAGGTTTGAGAAATCTGGTCCACCTTTTGTGTAGTTTCCTGAGATTTCAGCTCCACTGAAGTCAAAGCCAGGACTTTCTTTTTGGAACCTCTCTAATGTGAGCTTTCTCTGCATTTGGTCTTGTACCCAAGGATCAGCGGCGTATTCAGATTCTAGAAGGGAAGTCCAACAGTTGGCTGCGTCTCTCTTTGTCTTTGTAAGAACAATGCGGACCCTTTTTCTAACCTCCAAAGTCCATGTTCCTTCATCAGCTATAGTGGAATCAAAGAGCTTGCCCTTGAGCATCTCGCGGCCGCCCACGGCCAGCGCCACGTGCCGGCTCTGCAGGCCGCACTGGACGTCCTGCACGCGCATGCCCAGCGGCACCCGCACCTCGATGAACACCTCCTCCAGCGTCTGGTACCACTGGCCCCACGGCGTCCCGCACGGCACCACCCCCGCTGCGCTCCTCGAAAGGGGCCCACATGCTCCAGGCCGCGGCCCCCACCCCGCCGCACCGAGTGTGACCTGCGCCCCGCGCCACGCCCCCCCCACCAGACACTGCCTCCAGGCTCCCCCACCCTGTCCCCAATCCCCCGCCGCACCGAGTGTCTGTATATATAACTATTAACTCATATGAATATAATTTTATATATAACATATATATAAGTTAACATAGGTCAACATATGTTAACACATGTATAAGTTAACACATATATAAGTTAACATATATAACATATATAATGTATATATGTTTTCTATATATAACATATGTTAACATATGTTACATATAACTTATATATAACATATGTAAGTTAACACATGTTATATATGTTATATATAAGTTAACATATATAAGTTATATGTATAAGTTGTATATATCATATATACAACTATGTTATATGTTTAACATATATGTAATATATAATACATTAGATATATAATATATAATTTATAATATATAACATATTACATATAATTATATAATTATGTATTATATTACATATCATATATGTTAAATATATAATATATATGATATATGCCATATATAATAAATATATATAATATATAACAATTTATAGTTATCTATGATTATATAATCATGATTATATTATATAATCATATATTATGTAATTATATAATTATGTATTAGATATAATATATATTAGATATATATATAATATATTATATATTACACATATAACATATTAAATATATATTATATATTATATAGTTATATATAACTATATATATCATATATTACCAAAATAACTTTTTGGTAAAGTTTCAGTGAAATAAAACACTGTGAAATGCTCCCTGGCCATACAGAGCCAGTTAGATGAATAAATGCAATGGTCTTTGCCTCATGAAGACACTCTCTGTATTACAAAACAGAAGGAATATGAACCCCATCTTGGCAGTCTGAGAGCCTGGTAGGTGTTATGTCAGCCCTCCTTTTCTGAGGCCCGTCTGAGGGCATTAGAAGAGGCAGAGCAGGGCCTTGTTCTCGGCAGTGGGAATGAGGGTCTGCTAAGACTACTGTCCTCCTAAACACACCAGTGACCTGCCCATAGCCGCCCGTGGCTAGCTGCCCTCCAGGCTGCCCTCCACCTGCAAAAGCACTGCCTAACTACATGTCTTCACTCAAGCCACTAGTGCACACACCTGGTTTGTCAATGGCTTGAACCTCAAATTAGGCTTATTCAAAAGCATGTCAAGTTGTTCGCTGTTGAAGTTGGACACACCGATGGCTTTGACCAGGCCTGTGACCACCAGGTCCTCCATGGCCTAGAAGAGAATGAAGAATGCTGCTAGGTACCCGAGCTCTGCCTGGATTCCACGGACAAGGCACTTCCTTCAGCAACTTCACAGAAGCTTTGGGAAAATGTCACAGAAAATACATTTACGAAACTTTACCTGAAGCATCACAAGAATTTCTACAGCCATGGTCTTGTCTCTGTTCTGTTTCTTAACAGTGGGGGACACTAAGCTGGAACTGGGAATAATTTGCCTATCTTACAGGGCAATTGTTTTTTCCACCCTTTGAACTTAGTGCCTGGGTGCTATCTGGAGCTTTTTTTTTTTTTTTTGGTGCAAGGCTAGTACTCTACCATTTGAGCCACAGCTCCACTTCCAGCTTATTAGTTATTAACTGGAGTTAAGAGTCTCATGGACTTTCCTGCCCAGGATCAGCCTCTCTGAGTAAGTAGGCTGTATACGTCTTGATCCATGCATCCAGCCCATTTTGTGCTGATTATTTTTGAGAGAGGATCTCACTGTGTTGGCCTGAGATGGTCTAGACTGAGATATTCCTACTTATGTTTCCTGGCATAGCTAGAATGACAGGTGCACATCACCATGGCCGGCTCTTTCTGCTGAGAAGTGGTCTTGTGAAATGGAACGGCAGTCCACTTAAACTCAGCCCCCAGGATTGGGCTCTGCCACATTGCTTAGGAGGCAAAAGTGCATCACCATGCCCAGCTAGTGGTTTACATGGGGTCTCAAGAACTTTTTTTTTGCCCTAGTTGGCTTGGAACTTTAATCCTCTTGAACTTCTCCTGAGTAACTAGACATGTGCCAATGACTAGTACCCAGTTGAAAACACAAGATTTTTTTTACCTTGTCTTCATTTATGTTTTCTGAAATCAATGTGACATTTCTGAACTAAAAAATGTTAACACTGAGGGAAATAAAAAAATTATCCTTCAAATGTTTTAGAGAGACATACCATACTAGGGTCAAGATAACAAGAAAGTGATTGGACATAAATATACTTATCAGATGAATACCTGAACTCACAATTCATACCACACATCTGTGTCTCAAGACAGACTTAAGTGAATTTGAACACAAAAAGCTGAAAAGGTCTCCCAGTGTTTCCTATCTGGACATCTCTGGGTAGGGATGACGTTTCGAGATGGTGTGGCTTAGCTTACCTCCCAGGTATCCAGGAAGTTCGTGTCACTGGGTATAACCATGCCATTCTCATCCAAAGGTAAGTCTTTGTCTCCAGACTGTGAGAACCAGAAGAAAAAGAGCATATTGGGGATTTGTCATCATCCTCTAGGGGAGTCTGACCAGGAAAAGGATCCAAAAATATGGGGGAAAACTCCAGTCAGCAGAGTGGGGTCTAAGCTTTGGTCCTGATTTTTCAATCTCCATTTTCCTAGGACCATGAACTTGATGGTCAGCCAAGGCTCTGCCAGCCTTGAAGTTTACTCTCTCTCTCCTAGAAGGCAGGGAAGGAGGGCTTTGAATCTCTGCTATATAAGTGCATGATTTCAGGGATGGAGGAGCTGATTCTTCATGGCTTAAGAACACAGCTTTCTCCCAACTCCGCTGTGGGGACTGTCTCTTCTCTTCTGAGAATTCCAATCGTAAGGAGAGATAATACGATAAGAAAACAAAGATGCACATCTTTGCAGAAGGTGGAGAAAGATACCGTACAAGTGTAAAAATCAAGCTCTCCTGAGCAAGTACAGGGACTGAATCCCATCTATCCTCTTTACTCAGGTACCATCTCCTTCTGAGCATGTGCAGGATAGATGGAAATGTATCCTCTTTATTCACACACCATCATGGCCTATGTGTCATGATATGCTGGCAAGTGACAGATAACACACATGTAATAACACCTAAACAATGAATACGTTGAAAGTTCCAGCCTGCTTTCTAATTTTTTTTTCAGGAAGTTTCCACTATGAACTGTAGCAACTATTTTGCTTCAGAACTACCTCCTATCTTGACATTTGTCTAGTCTCTCATGCAAATCTAATCACCCTACCTGGAAACCCATGGGCCAGTGTATGAGGTAGAGATCCAGGTAATCCAACTTCAAAGCCTCCAGACTCTTGGTACATGCCGACTCTACTGAGGACTTGCTGTGGTGGGTGCACCAGAGCTACAGTAAAGAAGGGAGGCCATGGTTACAAGCTACATTCAGTGCTAACACTGAAGCATCCCCAAAGACCCACAGAGCTCCTATGTGGAAGACCACATCTCAATTCAACAGTGAAGACTCTGGGAGATGTTCTGAGGGGAGGGCAGAGACGTTATACTAATATATATGTATAATTTGAATTGGGCACTGGTGACTCATGGCTATAATCCTAGCTACTCTCAAGAGAGCTGAAGATCTCAGATATGAAGGCAATCCAAACAGACAGATCCAAGAGATCCTTATCTCCACTCAACCAGGAAAAGGCTGGAAGCCTTTTCAAGTGGTTCAAGTGATAAGATGCTACCTTGAAGAAGAAGTTATTAATGGGAGGGGTTTTTGCTTATTTGGATCCACTGGGACCACAAAATGCAAAAATAATACCTACAGGCAGAAAAGGTATGAATAAAAAAAATCAGAATTTTTTGGGGGGCTGGGAAGGTGGCTTAGTGGTAGAGCACTTGCCTTGCATGCATGAGGCCCTGGGTTCGATTCCTCAGCACTACATAAGCAAAAAGAAAAAAGCCGGAAGTGGTGCTATGGCTCAAGTGGTAGAGCACTAGCCTTGAGCTGAAGAGTTGAGGGGCAGCGCCCAGGCCCAGAGTTCAGGCCCCATGACTGGACCCCCCCCCAAAAATCAGAATTTTTATATCATGTTTTCCAGTCATACATACTTCATGTTCTAGGTTCTCTGTTGTTCTAAGATATTATAATCATGCATGTTAAACCAGGTAACTATATATATATATACATACATATATATATATACACACACACACATAACATGTCATATATAATATATTGTTTTATAATAATTTAGTGTATTTCTTTCCACATTCCTGAATAACAACTATTCTAAATTGCTTTTCCCTTCATTATTTTCCCTAATACATTTTTTATTAACATTAGAGGTCAGCTCCAAAGCTCTGTTACAAGTAAAAATAAAACTAATGAGGAAATTTTTTTATGAAAGAGCAGGCACTAAAAAAATAAAAATAAGTGACAAACAGAATTTAATAACACAAAAAAGGACAAATTCTAGAAGTAAACATATCACACTGTGAGCAAAAATGATCTCTGAGTGATAAATATACAAGTGACTTATTACATTTTAGTGACAGTTCCAAATTTACAAAAGAATGAGCACACTTTCCTGATGGCTATAACACTCTTAGAAGCTACTTGCCCTCAGATGATGGCTTTCCTTGGATAAACATACATCACTCCTTTCTTTCTCTCTATTCTCTAGCTGAGAACAAAGACAACAGAAGTTGATGAATGATGAAATTGTCACAAGGATCAATGTTAAGAGTGGATTACTTCCAAGTAAAATAGGAAGGCAAATCCACCACTGAAACAACTATAGAAGTTTAAATCTAGAAATGACTCAGGAGATGATCGAACTCCAACTCTCCTTTTACAGATGCTCTTGCTGTGCCCCTTAGGCTGACAAAAGTACTGACAGCTAGAAATTGAATGTGAGACTAATCATCTTGTGGTCTTGACATGCTGCTTCAAAGGAGAAAAATTCAAAAGGAAAGAAATTCTTT